ATTTAATTTAAAAAAATAAAAGCTCATTAAGTTTGCGAAACGTAACGTCACACGTTACGTTACGTTTATGTATGTGTCACGTTACGTTTATGTATGTGTTACGTTGCGTTACGTTTATATAAGTGTCACGTCACGTTACGTTTATGTAAGTGTCACGTCACATTACGTTTATGTAGGATCCTGTGGAATACATTCCTATCTAAATAGGACTTGAGACTCTATAAGAAATTATACATGACTTAACCTACCATAAATGTCTGAAAAATTACTTATAAATAAATCTCTCAACCTAAAAGGTAAAGTATAATTTTTAAAATTAAAAGAAATAATTTATATTTTAAATAAATTTTAGGAAGGATATTTTCTTTTTATTTTTTTCAGTGAGAGACAGCTTTTAGACTTCTATGTTCGGTGTTCCTTTCTCTTTTCAAATGAAAAGGAGCACCGTACTCAAATCGTGCCGAAAGTCTCGCTTCAAAATAATATTATGTTTTAAAAAAATAAAAATAAAAATAAAAAACCTTAAACTTTTGACCCCCTAAAAAATACCAGTCCAAGAGAGCAAGTAATGAATAATTGACCAACAAAAAGTAGATCCAGAAGTTGCTATTCTCCCGATCAAAAAAAGAAGTTGCTATTCTTATTTTTGCTCTCCGGCCATTGCCAACTTGGCTGGCTGTGTAATATAAAATAGAGTTAATTATCTAAAAATTTTAAGATTTTGTTTTATTTAGTAATTTAATTTTTTTAATTTTAAAATTAAAAACATTATTAATTTTACATAGTAATGTTCTAGATAATTATTTCACTAACTAATAAAAAAATTTAATATGAGATTAAATATTTTTGTCCTTTTACTCATTGGTTTGATTCAGCTATTCAATAAAATCGAGAATATTATCAATTTTTTTCAATTTTAAAACTAAGAACGTTATCAGTTTTTCCATTTAAATTTTTTTTTTGTACATTAATGTTTCATCATCATACTCCTTTATAGACACAAAAAATTCAGTTTTGCACAAAAAAATAATTGATTTTTTTAATTATTTTTTCCAAAATTGCACATAATTTTTTTAAATTTTTTTAATTTGAAAGTTGATATTTTAAAGTTTTGAAAATCAAAATAAATGTCAAATCATCATATTTTTTTATAGATAATTATAACTAATGAACAATAATTATTTGAAAGGTAATTCTGAATATTAAAAATTTAATCAAATTTAAAGATCCAAAAAATCTTAATTAAGACTTAATAGAATATAAATTTATAAATTAAAACTTATGCGTAAATACTTCTTAAAAATAAAATCTTATCATAAAGTGGCAAATGATGTAATATCCAATTTTGTAGCAATTTTATTCAATCCTCAATTTTGTATGTTCTATATCAGTTGTTACCATGTTGGAGCAAGAGTCAAGGTTTACAATTTCACTTGCAACATCATTCAAAGAGTTTGAAGGAAAAAATTGTGGATAAATAAATTTTCATAGTATAATATAAAGTGCAGAAACAATTATGTTTGGTTTCAATTTTTTGAATTTAATTTAAAAAAAATTAACTTTTTTATTTTTCGTTTTTTTTTTTGTTTTTAGTAAATATTTTTAAATTTTTAAATAATTTTTTTACTTAAAAGTATCTAAAAATTAAAATATTTGTAAAAAAATATTTTAAAAAATCAATATAAATACACAAGAATACAAAAAATGTATTGAACTCTCTCTTCTTCTTTTTTTTGTGTATTTAGTGAATTTTTTTTAAAAAAAATTGACAAATATTATACTTTTGAAGTATATTTATGTTAGGTGTATCTAAAAATTTTAAAAATTACTAAAAATATTAAAAAATTAAGTAAAAAAAATTAAAAAAATTAATAATCTGAAAAATGAAATCTAAAAATTCAAACCTAACAGTATTTTGGAATTTGCCTGCTAGCTTTTTGTCTACCAAAGATCCAAACTGGAAAGAACTTTCTAGGATTTGTATTATGAGTTTCCTATTTATCAGTTGATTTATGCTCTACTTTGCCACTGTGGGAATCATGAATCAGCTACTTCCGTCATAATTTTTTAATCACATTATTTGATAAGTTTTATCTTTTATTTAAAAAGCACAAACATTAAATATTTATAGGTAAAGAAGTTCTCAAATTAAATTTTTCTTTACACCTAGTTAAGGGTTGGGCCAATCTTGATGTGTCAACACTTTATTAAAGGGAAATGTTTGGAACCCCTTTTTGGGAGACTCCCACAACCCTCACAGTAATGTGAACCAATGATGTGTTTGTATTATTTTTTTTTCTTTCTCTTTCTTACCTGGACCAATCACAAGTGAGTAGGGATTGTGGGGATATTTTGTGGGAGTCTGAATCATTATTGTTATTAAAAATAGACATGGGTGGTGAGACCATGTACAAATATAAGAAAGGACCACCCTCAATTTTATTTTATTTTTATAATTACATTAGCACCTATATATTTAAAAAGTGTTTTGTTTAATCCTTAAGAAATAATTGTGCCCACCCTAAATCATTTAAGATCTACTAAAAATTAATATTATTAAAAGCCCCTCTTAATTTTCTACCTATAACATAAGGACTTTGAATACAAAAATGACTCTAACATATCATTTGTAATTGATATTGTGGGTAGTTCACTTATTGTTTCTTATGACTTAATCAATCTTAGGTTGAACTCCTCTTCTCTCTATTTTTTTTTTTCTTTGCAAATAAATTAAATATTCTTAAAGGCCCTTCTTATCTTTCTTATTGGGAAAATTACATATGTGATCTATGTAGGTTGCCTACTGTATCAATTTCATCCTATAATTTCAATTGCATCAATTTTGTTATTTAATTTTTTACATTTTGTCAATTTAATCCAATTGTAATGCCCATTAATAAATTGAATAGAAATTAAAGAAAAAAATGATCTGCTGATTGACATACAATTTGGAGTGCATAGACCATGTGTGTAATTTGCACTTTCATAATTTTCCAAAATTATATATATTTGTAATGTATATTTATGTTTTCTATTTAATATTAGGCCTAGTTTGGGAAGACTAAATAAGTGTACTTTTTGACTTTTTATGAAATATGAGTTGGGTTTGGGTTGGGTTTGAAGTGATGTGTTAGAGAGGTGATGTGATTTAAATAAGATGATATGACTTAAATAGAATAGTGACTTTTTGACTTTTTATCTTTTTTCAATCATGCCAAACTTGACCTAACTCAAAAGGTTCGTACTATATAGGAAGCTAGACTCAACCTTCGTTTGACAATGACTTTTTTAATTAGTTTTTTTATTTTTTTAACTTTTTTAGTCTGAGACTTTTTTGTTCATTTGGTATTCTTAATTGACTTTTTTGACTTTTTAGCTTTGAAATTGTGAATTTTTTTATCCTTTTGTGATTTTTAATTTTTTGTGATTTTTTGACTTTTTGTCATCCTTCTGTAATTTTTTAGCCCAACTCAAAAACCAACAACCCCTTATGATTCCAAAATTTGCCCAAAGTCACTGTATAATGGTGATCAAATTGATAAAATATCAAATTAATAAGTGAATTGTAGTCCCATTATTATATTATTGTTGCCGGTTGGTGATTTTTTTTCTTCGAAATTTATGTTAACAAGTACCCCAACCGGTTGGGACTTAAGTCAAGTTTCGCATATTGTAAAAAAGTTAAAAGGTCAAAAAGTTACTCAAAAAGTTAAAAAGTTAACACTACTCATCAAAAGTCAACAATTACGGCTGCACAATTCTCAATCCTAATTTTTCCCTACAAATTAATTTCCTACAAATCAATTTTTATAATTTTTTATTACACATTTTTTCATAAAAAGTCAAAAAGTTAACTCAAACATCCATATTTTTTTTCTCATTTTTTAATCTAAAAAGATAAAAAAATACTTATCTAAGGCATCCCAAACAACCAGTTAATAATGGATGGACATGAGCTGGAATGTTAAATCACTGCCAATCTAGGAGCAAGATAAAGTTCATTACTAAAGAGAAGGCGCAAATGCGTGTTTGGTGGAATTTTTTTCAAGATAAAAGTTGGTAATTAAAAAGTATAAATTAAAAATATTCTTACCTCAGATTTTAAGTAATTAATTTTTTTTAACTTATTTAAGTTATTTCTGCCTAATAAATGCGGTATTTGACAACAATTTTTATTTTTATTTTTATTTTTTTTTTCACTAAAAGACAATTTTTGCAAAATTAAAAAAATAAATCCAAACAAAATATCACATCAAACCTCATAATCATTTCATTTTTTCTTTCACAAACATCACATTCAACCACAAAAAAAACTCAACTATCTTCCCAAACACAAAAAAAAAAAAAATTCTAATAATATTCTACAACTAAAAAAACCTACATAAAAACTCACTTTCCAAACACCGACAAACTCTAAGCAGAAGTTACACCACACAGTTTGACACAGACTCTCAAATCAAAATAAGTTATAACCACTCCCCAAAAGTTGTAACAAACGGTCCCATAGAATGGTTATTAATTGAAAAATTAAAAATATATATATAAATATTGTCATATCATTCTTTTTATTTTTTGTATATTTTTTTTATAAAATGCTAAAAAAATAATTAAAATAATCAATTTTCAAACAAAGCTTATAATTTAAAGTGAAATTAAAAGTTAATTATTAAACCAACCGTACGTTATGTACTCCCAACATGAATGATTATATTATAATGTTCTCAGCGAGTTTCTTACCTTTCCATCAATGCAAATTATAATGGCTGTAATACAACTCTATAAGGTGGAAATGAATGCACCGACGGAGTTCTCATGTAAAACGTAATATTAAATAAAAATTTGCATTAAAACACCAACATAAAGTTACTTGGGAAATCCGTGTACATATGCAAGACTTGTACAAAAAGAATTGCTATGGCCAAATTTGACATTCTCAAAAAAATTTAAAACGTCAAAAATTTACTATTTTATTTAAATCACATCATCTCTCTATCACATCATTTCATATCTAATCCATATTTCATAAAAAGTCAAAAAGTACACTTATTTAAGGCATCTCAAACAACCCAGATCTCCGACAATGCTGAAAAAAAATAATAAAAAAAGGGAAAGAAATTAATTTCAAATGCGTAAATATGATTTATTATGTGTGACTCCCGTCGCACTAAGTTTAAATCAATACAATACATTTAAATAATTATTTTAATTCTGATTCATAACACTTTTAATATAATTAACTAATAACTTCATTTTTTAAGAGGCAAAACATTGTGGTTTTCAAAAATTTGAATGAGCTGAGCAAGCGACTTTGTAGATGATCCATGTTCACTTGTGGCCATGGCAGCAGCATCTTTCAATTCCGTCGTCTTCTTCCGAAGCAATTTCCCTTCTTCTCCTACAATAAGATCCCTCACACATTTTGCAATTTCTTCCCTCCCAACCATGCCATTTTCATTCTTCTTTGGTGTTAATGCGACTTTCAAATCTTGGGTTAGCATTAGCTTAATCATTTCTTGCTCTGCGTAGAGTGGCCAAGCAATTAAAGGCACTCCATGGGTTAAGCTCTCTATGGTTGAGTTCCATCCACAGTGACTAATGAACCCCCCGGTTGAGCCATGGCTCAAGATCTGAACCTGTGGAGCCCATGATTTCACCAATAGACCCAACCCTCTTGTTATTGTCCTCTCCATGAACCCATTGGGCAAGAAATCAAAAGGGTCTTCCTCTTTATTGCTTTGTGCATTGTAGTACACACCATTTGCAGCATTCTTAGCTGGGATCCTAACAACCCAGATGAATTTTTGTTCACTCATCTCCAAACCCAATGCTAGTTCAGTTAGCTGCTCCTGAGAAATGGTCCCACTGCTCCCAAAGCAAACAAATAGGACTGAGCCACGTGGCTGTTTATCGAGCCATGTCAAGCAAAGGGTCCCATCATCAATTGTGGGACCGGTTTGTAACAGAGGTCCAATCGGATAAAATGGTGGTTTACCCGACCCGTCCTCCATTAAAACCTTAAAAGCACCCGGTTCCAAGTCTATGAAACTATTGACGATAATCCCATCAGCCAAGTAGTACCTTTTGGCATGGTAAAGAAACAATTTATAGAACTCACTGTTTGAATCCTGAATCACACCGGGCAATGCTGTCGGGCGAATAGGAATGCAACCCGGTATTTCAATCGGGTCGGGTAAATCTTTGTAGTCTTTAATACCCGTTTCGTCAAGCTTGGACAAGTGAAAAAAAAGAGATAGTGACATTGCACAGAAAGGTGCGAAAACGTACCGTAAAATACCCAACTCTTCCGTTAAATCGAAGGCGTCAGTGCCAACCGCATCAACCACCAAGGCTACGAGGCGGGTTGACTCAGTTAAGGTCTTGAGTGAGTCACGGAGACCCTGGACGCACCGAGTCATGCCGGTTGTGACTAGGGTTGCGGGATTGAGACTGCCCGAGAGATCGTTGGAGATGACCGGAGGAGGAAGATAGACGGCGGTAATGGGTTCAGGCAGCGAATCGAGAAAAGATTTCTGGGATTTGATGGGAAAGCCGAAGTTAGGAACGATAAAGCTGACGGAGAAGTGGTGGGAAAAGACGAGTTGCTTCGCGAACTCGGCGAGTGGGATGAGATGACCCATTCCTGGGGAGGGGAAGATGGCTATGTGAGGCTTGTGCTTGTTGCTGGTTGTAGTTTCCATTGTGAAGATGTGAGTGAGTGCAAAGCAAAGACTGGAGACATGCACATATAGGGGTGTTTGGGAAGAGACAAATTAGGGGTTTTTTAGATTAAAATAGTATTAAAAGATTTAAAAAAAATTAAAATAGTTAATAAGACAAAATTTCACATTAAATTTTAATTATTTTATTATTTCTCTTATAAACATTACATTCAATTACAAAAAAAAATAAAAATTCAACCCTCTTACCAAACACAATTATTTTAGCTAAGTTAAAATAGTTAAAAATTAAAATAATTTACTAAAATAATTAACTATTCAAACGGAGACATAGTAACAAGAAGACTACAAATTCAAAATTATTTATCTATAATTTATTTAAAATTATAAATCAATAATTCAAATTTATTTTACTCAAATATCTTACACTTTATCAATTTAGCCCGTGTTTGGCAAGTGAGTTTGCAGGTTTTTTTGATTATTTTAGCCACAAAAAACAAAATAGGCTATTTTAGTCATAACAAACAAAACATCACATCCAACCCATAATCATTACATTCTTCTCTCACAAAAAACTCAAAAAAGTCAAAAAGTCCAAAAATTCTTCCCAAATCAAACTTTTAAACCCAAATTAAAATAGTCAAAAAAATCAAAAAACTAAAAAACCAACTCACTTCCCAAACGAAGCGTTAATCTCCAACATAGATATTCATTCTTGATAAATTATGGATTCTATTCTGAACCTAACTTTTTTGATAGCGTAACCAACAGTGAAAATGTACGCACACAAAAATAAAGAAAAAGACAAATAAAAAAAGTAAATTATGTGGCTGAGATTTTTAAGTATGACCCCACGCAATTCATTTTCGTTGAACTTTCGCGTGTTTTGTTTTTGTATATTTTGCATTTTTGTATTTTCTGTATTGCATTATACGTGTTGTAGTCGGTCACATTTGTGTTGTATCATTTTGAATTCGTATAAAAAATATTTTAATATTAACTTAACTCATTTATTATTTTACTTTATTTCATTGTTTGTGTACGGGAAAAAAATAATTCTCCTCGTATAATCCTGTTGACTAAGTCTATGTTCCTCCGTACGACGTCGCTTTGTCACCTGAAAATAGGGATGGCAATATCAACCCGGCTCGACGGGGACCCGGACCGCCCCGTCCCGATAAATAGGGTTTTCTCCGAAAATTATTCACCATAGGGCCGGGGCTGGTATTAAAAAATACATCCCCGATAATTTTCGGGCCGGGGATGGGGATAGGCTTGTCGCCCAGGCCGCGGCCGCCGACGCCACCGATTTCCCCGTATAATAAAAAAATAATATAAACAAATTTAATGTTTCTCCCCGCTCCGTAATACTTCTTCTCTTGTACTTATATAAAATATTAAGTTAAATATTATTTAAATTGTATTTATAAAATAGGATTGATAATTTTGACTTTTGAAATCCTACTCATCTCTTGTCTTCAAAGCTAATCTCTCCCTTCTCTCTGAACTAATATCTTTCTCCTCTCTCAAACTCTCGTCAGTTCTCACATCTCTCTGATCTTTCTTTCTATACTCTCTCGTTAAGAGTCTCTCTTCTCTACTCTCTTCTTCTCTCTCAAACTCAACTCTACTTCAGTCTCGCAACCCACCGTCCACAGCCGAAGGTCCGTTCATCCCCAGAATTCATCTCCATTCTCTTCTCTATTCTTCAGCAGAAGGCCGTCTCTATCTCTCTCTCAACAACGATCCAGCAACGCACAGCATTCGCCAGTCACTCAGACAGTCGACTTCGCCACGCGTGATCTCGGCCAAAATCTGTGCCAAGCGATGGTGTACTCAGATCATATACTCGATCTGTCTATCTCTCTCTCTATCTCTCTATTCTCTACTAAATCTCTTCTGTCTGGATTTTGTTTTGTTTAGTACTCAGATCTGATATTGTTGTTTAATTGTAATTGTTTCAAGATATTTTTTTTATCTATGTTAAAGTATATATTGATGTATGTTATATATTATCTGTTAGGTCTGTTATATATGATCTGTTTAATTTTTTTTTTTTTTGAACTTTGTGAAAATATATTTTGATTTAGTCGTTGCAGTTGGTTGAACAAATATTTATTAAAAAACAAGAAGAAATTCGGGCGATATTTCGGGGTCCGAGGAAACCCGATCCCGTTATGGTGGAGGGGATGGGAGGCGTGATGGGTCCCAGCCGCCGGGGTATCGGGGGCGGGGGCGTGGATGTTATTAATTCTTCGGGTGATCGGGGAACGGGGAGAGGCAGTTCCCGTCCCGGCCGGCCGTTGCCATTCCTACCTGAAAACACAAACGTGAGCTAGCCGGCGGGTGTGTGCCGGAAACCTCTCCGATGCCTAAGTCAGAAAACTTGACAAATAGACAAAGCTCAATGTATTCAGGAAGCAAAATTGTATGTTGCGTTATGTTACCTCCTCTAAGGTGATGCTTGTGAGCTTTTATAGGTTTCGAGTGGCACAATCCTAGCAGGACTGTTATTTCTCCATGCAGAGTCCTCCTAGGATCTATACTCCTAAAAGATAATACTTATCCTTTTACACCCCCACTGCTTAAACCAAGTGGGATGGTTTTAACTACGGCCGAACTGCCATACGACCGAGATAAACCTGGCTATTCTGAGCCACAGAGTAGGCCATACGAACATTAGTTCGGTTCTTCCTCTTGCCTCGCCATATCTCGGTTCTCTCATACACGAACCATGGTGTGTTTGGACCGATCTACTGAATAGCAACATTCCAACCGACCTACCTAGAATACATCATGACCGGACTATTTCTGAGACCGGCCTAACTCCAAGTTGCACGGACCGAAGTAACTCAACATCTCTTTTGGGCTGGAGTAACTTTATCACTCTTGAACCAGAGTAACTTTATCCCTCCTAGGCCGGAGTAACTTTTCGGCCTTTTTTACACAATCCTTCGTACTTTGGGCCACAAAGTCCATCTCACAGCTCGGCCCAATTTTCACCAAAATTTACCCTCTCAATTGCCCCTTAATTCCATCTGCACAGCATGATTGGGATTACCAGTCTACTAGCCGAGCTGGAGATTTTAAGCTTTTCCAGTCGAGCTAAAAACCCTTTAGCCTCTCCAGCCGAGCTAAAAACTCCCAAGCCTTTTTAAACCGTGCTAATCTTTACTCCGAGCTCTGTTTTGTCCGGTCAAAACGTCTCCTCAATTACGACTGTAACGCTTCCCTTTCCAATGACACGTGGCGGGTTCTGATAGGCTGGGGGCAGCTGTCACGCCGCCCTCGTACTACGAAACTTTTGAACAGTCCCGCCCTTTTTGCCTTTTGTCCTTTACACAAAACAACCCTATCCTTTCATTTTTGAATCACTTACTCTTCTATTCTTCGTCTTCTCTCTCTGTGCCTCCATTTCTTCACTTCCAAGCCCGTGCTTTTCATTGCTGCAACTGCTCTATCTCCAGTTCCCTCTTCTTCAATCTGGTAAGCAAATCCTTTTCCCTCCCCTATTTTTGCTTTCGTATTTGGTCTATGCATTTTGTTTACTGTGTTTTTGCAAAACATTTTCTTCCATTTTTGCTTCGCTTCTGTACTTTCATGAAAAAATCAGTAGAACTCATGTGTGTATGAATTATCCTGTAGAAAACCAGTCTTGGATCCAAAATCATGTAGCAATACTGTTTGTCCTATATAGGTAGATCCCCTTAGATAATAACCGAACTAGAACTTGTAGAGATGACAGCAGCTTCAAAAAATAACCTTCTGATTCACCTTAGCCGAAATAAGATCACCGAACGAAGTTTGAATACATTAAACTAGGAACCTCAGTCTTCAACCGAGCTAAGCCTTTGGGGCTAAGCCAGCTTTCTTAGTTTCTATACCAAACTCAGAAAGCTGCCCCTAGAGGCTCAACCGAAGTAACAAAACTCAAAGTTTAACCGAATTAGACCTTCGGGGCTAAGCCAGCTTTCTTAATTTTCTAGACCGAACTCAGAAAGCTGTCCCCAGACGATGAACCGGTCTAATGAGTAACCTGCTCAAACCGAGCTATCAAACCTTTTGATGAACCGAGGTAGAACCAGTTCACAAGGCCGAAGTAGGGCTCTTGTACCATGCTTTTAATTTGTAGCACGGTCCTATGATCTGTGCTTAACCCCTTTGTTTTTTACTTTGCAGACTTAGGTTGCCCAGGCACTTCTTCGTGCTCTCAACCGTGCTACTGAGCACAATTTTTGCACCGATATAAGTTATTCATAAATTATACAACAAATGGGTAAGTATAGGTATTTGGTAGAGACCCCTGGTGGCATGGCTGAATTCCGAAGGGATTATGGCATTCCAGACGATGTACACCTTACCCTAGCCAAGCAGGACATCATACCATGGGGCGAAGCAGGCTTTGTACCTTTTACCCTGCTTTCCATAATAGAGACCGGACTAAGGTTCCCAATTCAGCCTTTAATTTGTGAGTTTCTTAGGCAAACCAGATTATGCCCAACCCAGCTATCCACCAACACATACCGGATAATAATGGGTATAGCCGAACTAAACCGCCAAGCAGGCCTGAACCTCGGTCTAGCCGAAATCTTCCACCAGTACTCTATAGGTTCCAAGGACGATGGCTGGGTTTATTACCTTAGGATACGCCGTCGTAGAGAAAAGATAATAAAAGATACGCCGGATAAGGATGTAAATGATGATGACTTTTTCTGGGTATCGGGCAATTTTGAAGATCAGCAAGCCCAAATCCCAGGCCGAAGTATAAACTAGAAAAAAGGAGAACCTGGTAGAGTTACTTCAGTTTTATACATGTTTTCTTTTACTTCGGTTTCAGATGTCACAACCGATCTGACAGTTGTATCTTTTTGCAGACTCATCTCATCTTGCATCCCTGTACAGTTACCCAAATCTGAACACACTCCGAGCCGCATTACGGTTTAAAGAAAGGAGTTGGGCTAAGCTTCTAAACTTTGAGCCGACCTATAGGTATAGCGGTCGCCGAAAAGCCAGAGTGACCGATTTCCTTCTTGAAGACGCTCCAGAACCGGACCCAACCTTGCCCGAAATAAGATTAATTCCATTAACCGCTGAAGAGGAAATGGCCAAGAAGAACAGACTAAGGGCGCTTCTGACCGAGACAAGTAGGCCCGAAGTACCGTTACCAAGCCAAACGCAGCCTACCGTTGTGGCCCTCCCCTCTCAACAGCCATCTTCATCGCGCCGAACCAAACGCGCCCGAACCACCGAGTCTGAACCAAGTTTGGTAGAAGATGAGACTGCTGTTTCACCGATTCTGCCACCGAGCCCCCAAAGCTTAGCACCAAAGCTTAGCATTCTATCACCAGCTGGGCACCAAAGCTTAGCTTCAACGACCGAGATATCCTAGATGCTGATTCGGTTGTCGCCGAAAAAAGATCACCAGTTGGCCTTTAGCCTGGCCAAGAGTGTGTGCCTCCCCAAGGATATGGAGCACCACCAAAAGCAGCTAAATACCGAATTAAAGTCCATTCAGTCTGCAATGAAGTCCATGATCCTGGTAAGCAGCTCTGTCCGTTTTTCTGTCTAGTTTTTTAATTTTTACTTCGGCTCATGGGAAGTCTTTGTTTTTGCCAGGCAATTCAAAAAAACTACAACACTCACAAGAAAGTACTGGAACTCAGAAAAACTACAAGGCAAGCTGTGGCAGAAGCCGAAGTGAAGTCGGCCGAGGTAGAAGACATCAAGAAGCAAATGGCCGAGCTACAAGCTGAGAACAGCAGGCTGACCGGACTGGTTAGTTCGGCCGAAGCAGAAAGGCAGAAGGCTGCCATAGCTCTGAAGGACAAGTACCTGCACGAGCTGGTGAAGCTCGAAAGAAAGAGAGATGCCGAAATATCCCAAGTGAAGGAGAGCGCAAAAGAGGCCGGCAAACAAGGCTTCAAGAAGGTAGAGGATGTTTATGCCAAGCAATGCAATGCTGCCAAGGAGCTGTTCTTCAAGTGCGGCTGGAGGGCGGCTATTGAGAAGCTCGGTCACGATCCACAGACCGAGGTTTTCAACCCTCCAGCCTACTTCATACCGAGCTCCCTTGTGGAGTATGCTAATGCCATGCAAGAGCAGTTTCTTGGAGACTCAGATTCTGATGAAGATTCTATCTCTGAAGATACTCCGGTTGTTAGTGCGGACCCGTCAGTTCGGTTGGAGCCTACGGTGGAAGACCTGACTAATGAACTACCAGGTGAAACCGTGGTTCCAACCGAAACCACCCTGGCAACCGAGAGCAAGCTCCCGTCTGAAGCCGGTCTTCGACTTGATGGTGATGCAGCTTTTGATGCTGAAATTGAAGAACTTTTCTCTTGATTATGTACTTTTTCTCTTTTGTTATTTTTTGTCCTTGTAACCGGGCTATGCCCCTTCTTTGCAGTGGCTTTTCAATGAATGAAAATTTTGCTTGAACTCTTATTCCGGTTTTGATTCGTATGCTTGCATTTGTAATGTCTTGAATGAAAATTTTGTTTGAACTCTTATTCCGGTTTTGATTCGTATGCTTGCATTTGTAATGTCTTGAATGAAAATTTTGTTTGAACTCTTATTCCGGTTTTGATTCGTATGCTTGCATTTGTAATGTCTTGAATGAAAATTTTGTTTGAACTCTTATTCCGGTTTTGATTCGTATGCTTGCATTTGTAATGTCTTGAATGAAAATTTTGTTTGAACTCTTATTCCGGTTTTGATTCGTATGCTTGCATTTGTAATGTCTTGAATGAAAATTTTGTTTGAACTCTTATTCCGGTTTTGATTCGTATGCTTGCATTTGTAATGTCTTGAATGAAAATTTTGTTTGAACTCTTATTCCGGTTTTGATTCGTATGCTTGCATTTGTAATGTCTTGAATGAAAATTTTGTTTGAACTCTTATTCCGGTTTTGATTCGTATGCTTGCATTTGTAATGTCTTGAATGAAAATTTTGTTTGAACTCTTATTCCGGTTTTGATTCGTATGCTTGCATTTGTAATGTCTTGAATGAAAATTTTGTTTGAACTCTTATTCCGGTTTTGATTCGTTGATCTTTGAATAGGAAAAAGAGTCTGAAGAGTAACAAGAGTTGGTTTATTCCAGCCAACCACTCTTCAGCCATACCCTTACTTCGGCTGAAGAGTAACAAGAGTTGGTTTATTCCAGCCAACCATCTAAGTTAGTTTTTCCAGCTAACTTAGAATAATGTTTAGTTATTCCGACCAAACGTCCTGCAGCCTAGATCCTTATCCTGGGCTTAGGAAGGGTGTTGGTTTATTCCAGCCAACCTCTAAGTTAGTTTTTCCAGCTAACTTAGAATAAAGTGCTTGCACTGTGCCTAATCTTCACTAAAGCTAACTTTTACAAAGAACAACTTGTGCTGAAAAGAATTGCTTGTTTTATTGAAGAAAGAAAAATTTACATATGTTTGAAAAAGAAAAGCTAGAAGTAAAATAACTTGAGATTGGCCGTGTTCCATGGCCTAGGGATTGCTTTGTCATCCTTGTCTTCTAGGTGGTATGCCCCTTTGCCTGCTAACCCAACCACCTTATAAGAACCTTCCCAGTTTGGTCCTAACTTGCCGTCTCCTGGTATCAAGGTGTTTCCCATTACTTTGCGCAGTACCCAATCCCCAATCTTGAATTGTCTCGGATGCACCGTTTTGTTATATTTTCTGATTAACTCTCGTTTGTATGAGGCAATGTGAACCATTGCTTTTTCTCTTCTTTCTTCTGCAAGGACGAGTTCCAAAGCTATGGCTTCTCCATTCAAGTCTAGATCGAAATTTTCGCTTCGAATTGTGGGGAGGCCAACTTCTAGTGGGATTACTGCTTCCATTCCGTAGGCTAAGGAGAATGGTGTTTCTCCTGTTGATCGCCGAGGTGTGGTGCGGTAAGCCCATAAAACATGAGGAAGTTCATCTGCCCATTTGCCTTTTGCCTTCTCTAACCTTTTCTTCAGTCCATCCAAGACGACTTTATTTGATGCTTCTGCTTGGCCATTTTCTTGAGGATATGCCGGTGTAGAATTGTATAACTCTATCTTGTACTCTTCACAAAAGCTTCTGAAGATTCTGCCGTCGAACTGAGTGCCATTGTCTGAAATTAGGGCTTTTGGAATGCCAAACCGAGTGATGATGTTCTGCCAGACGAACTTCTTCACATCTTTTTCCTTAATTGATGTCAATGCTTCTGCTTCCACCCACTTTATGAAGTAGTTTGTTGCTGCGAGAAAGAATTTTCTGTCGCCGGGTGCTGTTGGAAGTGGTCCTACTATGTCTAAGCCCCACATTGCAAAAGGCCATGGGCTAGTCAATGGTAGGAGTTCTCTAGCTGGTTGATGTATTTGATGTGCGAATTTTTGGCATTTTTCACACTTCTTCACATATTTCTCTGAGTCTGCCTACATATATGGCCACCAATAACCTTGTGAAATGGCCCTGTAAGCTAGCGACCTTCCCCCTTGATGGCTTCCGCACACCCCTTCGTGTATTTCGAACAAGAATGCTTCCAC